AAATAAAATGATTTAAAATGAATATACATACTTTTTTGTACATTCTGCATATCAAGCCAACATTCAGGGAGAGACATTGGCAAGAATCCTATTTTTAAAGTGTCACAAGAGACATCAGTGAATTTCTTGTCTGGGTAGGGCTGAGTATATTATATTACCAGCTTAGCATCAAATGGGTTCACAAACTTCACTAATACTGTATGTACACTTCAATATGTACTCCAGAGAGTATGGATTATTCCATAGAATGCTAGCAGAGATGCCTGAGGCGTGAATTCTAGAAAAGCTGAAGCCAACTATCAGTTATCTGTCAATGGATTGCCAGTATCTAATCATAGTTTGAATAATAGGGCTGAAACAGTTCTGTCCATTTCAACTGCATTAAAAACAACAGTCCACAAAACGCCTTACATATTAATCAACACAAATTATGTAACTTTCATCAGCAGGTTTGAAAAACATGCAACTATTTAAAGAAAGTTCATTTCAAAGTAATGTTCTATAACAAATAGGTAAAGCCTATATTGGTGACAGTTCATAGAAATCTTATAGAAAGAAAACAAAGCAGTGAAAAACTGATTCATAAATGTGGTCATATTGAAAAGTTGGAGCTCAGCTACCCAGCCAGAGGTAATTAAAACAAAATGGCGATGCTATTAGGATGGAAAGGAAAAAGTGCTACATGGTATACCCAAGACTTGGATAAGAAAATTATGCTCAGAGTCTATAGCATAATCATTCCCCAGCAGTATGAAACCGGAAATAATTATTGAGATATGAATGGATTGCCAAGTTGCTCAGAATATAGGTGACAATTTATGGGGGGAAAAAACCCAAAATAAATGGTTCTGAAATGTTTAATTAGTGACTCCTTGCAAGTAACATAAGCAGATGATTGAGTAGCCTTTGAAGTACCACTGCGGCATTAATAGTACATTGCACACTATACTGCAAAAAAAAAATTAATAAAAAAAAATATATTAAAAAATAATAAATTGAAAAAAATTGAAAAAGCTACATAAAAGTTGGGTCATCTCATTTAAAAACTGGTATTCTTTAGCAGTAAACTGCTTTTCTTTGTGAATGTATACTTTCTCTGTGAGCCTCAAAATACTAGTGGTCCATCTCAATCCTGTGTACACATCTGTTTTGAAGTAAGTTTCCTGGGACCTCATCCTTAATACCTGATCCACTGACAGACTTTTGAATAGAGAAGAAAATTTCAGTTTATTAGCATTTCATATGGCTAGTTTGAGCTAAGGTACTGGATAAACCTTAGATGTGGATGAGAAATTAATATATAGTGGACTTCTGGGGAAGTAATGGCGGATTAAAGATGGCTCTGCATGAATGGAGCCGACAGGCACAACAGAAAGAGGAGCCGGTGAAGGGATCAGCTCCTTAGAACCCCTCTCCAGATCAAGGAGAGGATTGGGATCACCCACAAGTTTGTTCCATACAGAGGCTTGCCTGCGGAGAGATTGCAAATTAGCAATCTCTGCTGGGTTTGAGAGCTCTGGAAGCTGGGGGTAAATCGTCTTGCCTAAGCTGCGGTTTGGCGCCTTCAAACAGACACTGAGTTCACCCACTTCCTCTCTTAACTGCTTTAGGAAACTACTTATTATCAACCTCTTGGATGTTAAGAACGTTCTGAAGGGCAAGTTTCATCACATTGGGAGAGCTTCCTTCTATCCTGGATGAAAGAAGTTTTATATAAGTTTAAAGATTAAATAGAAAAATTTTAATTTTTTGAAAACAGCAAAAGTGTCTAGAACATTGATTTGGGAAAGTTAAAGGGCCAGATGGACTTGAAAGAATATTTCCTGTGGGTTCTTTAAAATTTTATAAAAGCATATATGAAGATTTTGAAATTAATTGTAAGAAATCCTCCCGTGGGAAAGTTTTGCAGAACGGAGAATAAACATATGATAAGAGGGGACTTTGAAGGTTGACTGGAGGGAACCAGAGAGAACTAAAGATTACAATTAAAGGAGAAGAGACCTATTAATAAAATGGAGCAATATTATCTGACTATAGAAGGAACTAAAGCTGTCTGGGAACAATGTACTCAGAAATTACTTACAAGATTGTCTGCCACTATAGAAATGGATATAGCAGAGGTTACAGAAGAGGAACAGACTTTACAGGATAAAATACAGACTGAGGCTGATTTGAAGGTAGATTTGAAAACAAATTTTAAAAAAATGTCAGACTTACAAGAGTGATATGGAAGAAGATAATGTGGATTTGAAAATGGATTTAAAAATGACTATAAGATTGACATGGAAAAAGATGCCACAGTAGATTTACAAATAAAACTGGCTAATGTTTTAATAACTAAAGGGGACATACAAATAACAAATCAGAAGACTAACTTGCATAGCTTTTTCATTTTGGACTTATAAAAGGGACCTGTTAAGCTACTGAAGCTGTTTCTGAGAGGAGACAAAAAGAAAATGATAAGAAATCAACTTGTGGGACACTATTTGTCAGGATTAAAGACCAAACTTTTAAAAAGTTAATGGGAATACTACAAAATGAACTTATTTGATCAGTGTGTGTGTGTGTGTAGTGGTTTCTGGTAGCTATTAATGGAATTTCTTTATGACCAGAACTGAATGACAATGCTTTAAAGATTTGTTTATAACTGGGGAGAGTTCTTTTGCTTTATTTCTTAGAGAAAGTGATGTTTTGGGACACAAAATAGATTTATTTCATTAAGGTTACAATATAAATGTTATTATTTCTGATAGCTCTTAATGGACTTTTGCTGAATAGAAGTGTTTTTCTTTTTTATCTATTTATATTTCTTTTTTTATATTTTTTTCTTTTTTTCTCGCTATTTGCACTTTTTCTTTTCCTCATGTTTTATATTTTTCTTAGCTTGTATTACTCTTTTATCTTTGTATCTGTAAACTTTAATAAAATTATTTCTCTCTCTCTCTCTCTCTCTCTCTCTAGTATTTATGTTGAGTATTCCCAGAGTCTTTAGTTTTTTCTTTAATTAATTTTTTTTTTTGTGTGTCTTAACCAATATTTGGGTGTCCCTGTGCATATTATTTATTTATATAGCTGAATGAAAATGGTTCAGTGACAGTGAAAATCAGTCCTGTATTGTGATGGAACCTTCCAAAAAGATTAAAAGAAACTTGCATTAATCAGGTTTGGTTTAGTTTTTGTTATATGCTTGTTTCAGTTTAAAAACTTAATCCCAGAACTGTTCTGTTAAAAGTGATGTATGAACAAATAAAAATTATCAGGACGCTAATATATTTCTCATTTGGGTAAAGATGTGATACTTTCCCATTTATCCAAATAAAAGAAGTGATACCACAAGGGCATGGTTAGCTTTTACTGGATTAGTGTTATAGTATCTAGGTTCCCCCAACTAAAAACTTTATCTGACCATTCTAACTAAGTCACAACAAGCAGATTACACTGCCACTGTTTTTTTTAAATGCTGGAGGCCATCTGAAGGGAGCATGTATGCCCATGGATGCTATGTTGGATCCCCAGCTTGTGTGGCAGTCTTCAAAAGCCTTAATGATAATTTAATCATGGTTGAAAATGAAAATTTGGGGAATTGCTGAATTAGGCTATCCTTCCTTTCTTTCATATTCTGTTAAAACAGATGTTTCCTTATCTATAGTTAGTCACAGTGTCTATATAAATGGGCATTTTATCTTTCCTACACATATGTCTTCCTATACATAAGATTTATGTCTTCCTTTATAGGTTTTGCCACATGAGGTGCTCATTTATTTATAATGGCAGGAGCCAGACTTTTCCTTTTATAAAATGGCATTACTACTGCCTATACAATCTTTCATCAAGCCTTAAACGTATTGCAAACTTATAAGGAAAATATTCCAACAGTTATAATTGATTATACCCTGATGATTCCCAGTTACACATCTCCATCAAGAACTGAACAAGTGATACTGTGGAGATCCTTACCTGAGGTCTGCAGACTAGATGGGTCTGGATGGGATAAAATGAGTTCAGAATGATTTCTGGCAAGAGTGGCTGTATCCTACACCGCTGCAGTGACTGGGCAACTCCTTCACTGGCTTTGGAGTGGAGCCCCACACCCCTTGAAACAGGAGTTGCTAAGGGTAGGGACCATCTCTGGAAATGTCTTGCTTTGGAATTGTTCACCTCGGTTCTTTTCTTCCGGTGGGTCTGCCAGCAGATCTGCTTGGCCAGTAGGAAGGCTTGGGCAGACGTGATACAGATTCAAATGGTCCTTCAAAGAAAGAATCTGGCTCCTAACACTGGCCTCCTGAGGTACTTTCTTAGGGGCTTTCTGATCCCAGGCAGTCCCAGGGAGGGACTAAGCTGAAAATGCACAGGGCCACTCCTGAAGATAATAGGCAGTCAACATTTGGCAGTCAATCAGGTTTAAACAAACAAACAAACATTTTAATTATTATGTATGCAAAGAGAGGAGGAGGAGGAGAAGAGGGAGGGGGAGGGGGGAAGGGATTGTGGTGAATGATATTCTGGGCCACTCTGCCTACTGATGCTCCTACCCTTCTCTGTGCCCAAGGAAAAGAACTGCTCCCGCCCACTCCCCTCCCCGCCTTTTCTCCTCCTTTTTCAGGGATGGGGAGGGAAGGGAGCAGTTGAACTCAGCCAGGCAACTTTCGGCTTTCAGATGCTGGAGGCATTGCCCCCGCACCCCCCCCCCCGCCCCCCACCCCCGGTGATCCCTCGCCCCCACTGGCCGGGGGGGCTGGGGGGGGCGCCCCAAGGGACGCAGGTCCCCCCCCCCCCCCCCCGCGGGGCCCGCACTCCAGTGCTGGTTTTTGGGGGGGGGGGGGTGCGGGGGCAATGCCTCCAGCATCTGAAAGCCGAAAGTTGCCTGGCTGAGTTCAGCTGCTCCCTTCCCTCCCCAACCCTGAAAAAGGA